CAGTCCTTTACCAGTGTAGCTATGATAAAAAAACAATATTGAGCGTTATTATCTTTTTTTTTGTTCTCCTCCTCCTCCTCCTCCTCCTCCTCCTCCTCCTCCTCCTCCTGCGGCGCTGCTCAGCACTGCGTGCGCACTCCCGCCCAGCAAGACGGTGGTGGAATTAGGGATGCCCCCTCCCTGGCGGCGGCGGAGGTGGATCCGCTGCGCCACCCACTGGGCGAGGGGCAGGAGCAGCGAGCTGCTTGGGCCTCTTCCGCGTTCCCCCGTCACCGTCGCCGCCGCCGGTCGGGCCCCCGCGGGCCCTGGGGAGGCCCCCGCCGCCAGCGCTCGCCCGCGGGGTCGCCCGCCGCTCCATCGCCCGCCGCCTCGTCGGCGGCAGGAGCTTGGCCCCAGCGCGCCGCCGCCTGGCATCGATGCGGGCGGCGACGACGTCTCGTTTTTTTGGTTGTCTCGGCATCGCTCGGACGTGTGCATTGTTTCTCGGCGAGGACCATCGAGGAGCACCTTAAACCATCGTGGCTAAAAATAGGCGCACGAAGTCGAAACATGCACGGGGAATGGACGTCCGAGCGATGCCGAGTTGTCGGGGCCGCTGGCGGCAGCAGCCGATACTGGGGGGGGGAAGAGGGGGCCAGCAGCGTCACGATTCGCGCCAGGACTGTCCGGGCATCGGTTGCACCGTATGGAAATCAGCTAGCTGTAGCCATTCCCATTCCCAGGTGGCGCTGGCGCTGGCAGGAAGCGTGACGTTCCTGCGGTGGCAGGGGAAGGGGGAGGAGGGGACAGTCGTAGCAGTTGTTATCACGAATAGTTCGAAACGAGGTCTTGGGGATTTCTCGGGTGGACCTCGTCGCAATGGCTGGACGCAGGTCGGAAACTGGCCAGGATGGACCCAGGGATGGGGTGATCTCGAACCGATGTCGAGCGGATTCGAATCGAACGGTGACGAGGAGATGGGGGGAGAGGCATGGGAGGATAAGTTTGGAGGGGGAGGGACGGGAAATTATGAGGGTGGAGAAGGTTCTTCAGATTATGGTGGCTTGTCGGGGATCCTTTGATGCTCCATGGGGACGGGGGACGGGGGAGGAGGTGAGGACAGGATGCGGCGAGGGAGGATAAGGAGAAGAAGAGTGATGAAGAGTGTTCTCGGGAATAGTTGGGCTTCTCGAAGTTGTCTGGGAGATCTACGGGTTCGCATCGATTCGTTCAGGTTTTTGGGGGGTCGGGAAGAGGAGGAGGGATTTGGTCTGGGAAATGTGTTTTAGGGAGCTGGTCTGGGAGGAGGAGGGAGCTGGTCTGGTCTGGCGGGGGGGAAGGGATTATCGGAAACACTGCCAGGGTCCAGAGCATCCCCCCAAAAGAGCTCTATTTGAGCCAGCATGGTGGCTCCAAAGACTTGTTAGCGCGCCTTCGGAAGCCAAAAATCATCGTTGTCACCCTGATCCGCTTGCCCTGAGATCCGACGTCGCAAAACAAATGCAAAACAGTCCACGCGCATAGCAAGGACGAGCGCTTATCCAAGGTTACCCTTGCGTCCTTGCCCTTCTGCACATCCTTGGCCACTGTCGCGGGCCGCGCTCCGCTCGAAGAGTGTCGAAATGACCTCCCAAGGCCCTGATATCCTTATCGCGCATCCTTACTCTGCGCGTTGGCTGTATCTGGCATAATCAAGGACAGAGCTCTCGACACCGTCTCTCTGACCTCAAGCCAGATATCGATCCACCTTTGACCCCTCGGGCCCGACATTTTGGGCGGAAGCGTCCTGCCTGGAACCTTGTGACGCCCGTCTCGGAGCGCACCTTCATCATCATGCCCGTTGTCGTGGCTCTGCTTGGCATCGCTAGGACGAGTGCCCTTTTCTCGGCGAGGACCATTGAGAGCCTCCGAGGACAAGCAAAGGACACGACTCCAGAGCATGCGGGGGGAATGGACGTCCGAGCGATGGCAGGTTCGTTTTCGTCGTCCACAAAGTGATCGTTTTCCACTGTTGTGCCGATCGGCGCGGGCCCTTTTAGCACCCCCCCTCCCCCCCCTGGAGTGGACCATGGCTGTTTTGGGGGGCGCCTGTTTCGATCAGGTGGAACCTCCCCCATAGGACGCACTGATGCAAAAGCAGTCGCAGCAAGCAAATGCCTGGAGCCAGACCCCCCCCTCCCCAGCCCCCTTCCGCCCCATGACGAGACGCCGAGTAAGAAAACGACCACAAGTTCGTGTTCGTCGCCCACGCATCCCGAGGAGGCGTCACCACTCCCGCCCCGGCCCGCCCCGGCGCTTCGCCGCCCTGGGCGCGGCAGTCGCCCGCCAGCCCCCCCGCGCGGTCGCCCCCCAGCGGCGACAGCAGGGCGCGCCCGCCTCGGCTGGTCGCCGTCCTGCCTCGCCGCCGTCGCCGCCGAGGGCCGCCACGAGGGCGCGAAGCCATTCGCAGTCCTCGATCCGCGGCCGCTCGTCCTCACCCTCCTCGTCTTCTGCTCCTCCCCCCAGGGGGGCTGCGCGAGAGCGCGAGGAAGCGCGCGAATCGCGAACATCGTTGCCCTTGCGTCGTCCTCCTCCCCCTCCTTGTCTCAGGCAAGCCGCGGGGACGAAGCTCGCCTCCTCCCCCTCTTTCTCCGGTCGTCGGAAGTTTTCGGGGGGGTTTGGGGTACAGGACAGCTTCCCTAAGCTGCGCGTCCTCGAGGGCGCTCCTGGGGCAAGCTATTGCGAGGGCTTCTTCCAGGGACCTACACTCATCTGGGGCCTTCCCTTCCTCTTTTCCTCTCTCCCCTTTTTCCCCTCCCCTCCCCGGCCCCGCTCCCTCCGTCCCCACAGGGAGTTTTCCCGGTCGAGGAATCCCCGACTTGACCTTATCCATAATCATGCCAGAGGAGCCTGGTCGGAGTCCACGTTGCAGGTTTGCCAGCGGCCCGCTCGGATTCCAACGGTTGGAATGGGGTTCCCATAGAGATGGGGGCTCCCAACTGAAAGTTCCTCGCAGTTCACAGACGAGGCTCCCGCCTGAAACTTCGTCAAAATTCAAGCCGTGGGAGCCTGAAAATGACGACAACTACAGGATTCCGATGGCCCGCTCGGATTACCAACATGAAGTGCGGGACCCATAAAAGGTGGGGGTTCCGCCTGAGACGTCCTCGCAATTCTCTCACGGACGAGGCTCCCGCGTGAGACTTCCTCAATATTCAAGTTTGAGGAGCTTATCAATGACGACAGTTACAGAAATCGATGACCCGCTCGGATTAAAGACGTGAGGTGCGGGACCCGTGGGCGGGAGGGTCTCGTCTGAGGCTTCCACGCAAGTCACTTACACATGAGGCTCCCGCTTGAGATTTCCCAAAGATTCAGGCCTGACGGGCCAAAGAGTGACGAGAGCAAAAGGATCCCGATGACCCGCTCGGATTACCAACCTGGAGTGCAGAACCCATATGGAGGGGGCTCCCGCCTGACACTTCCTCGCAATACACTCACAGACGCAGCTCCCGCCTGAGATTTCCTCAAGTTCAGGCCTGTGGAGCTCAAAATACCGACAGTTACAGGATCCCGATGACCCGCTCAGATTGCCAACATGAAATGCGGACCCCATAGGGAGGGGCTTCCGCCTGAGATTTCCTCGCAATTCACTCACAGACGAGGCTTGGGCTTGAGACTTCGTCAAGATTCAGGTTTGTAGAGCCCGAAATGGACGACAGTTCCAGGATTCCGATGGCTCGCTCGGATTACGAACGTGAAGTGCGGACCCCATAAGAACGAGGTTCCCACCTGAAGCTTCCTCGCAGTTCACTCACAGACGAGGTTCCCGCCTGAGACTTCCTCAAGATTCAGGCCTGAGAAGCCCAACACTGACGACAGTTACAGGATCCCTATGTCCCGCTCGGATTACCAATCCCGCCTGAGACTTCCTGGCAATTCACTCAAAGGTGAGCCTCCCGCCTGGGACGCCGTCAGGATTCAGACCTGAGGAGACCAAACGTGAGGACAATGACAGGGTTCCAGGGACCCGTGCGGATTCGAGCTCGAGGTGCGGGACCCAAAGGGAGGGGGCTCCCGCCTGAGACGTCCTCGCACTTCACTCGCAGACGAAATTCCCGCCTGGGACTTCCTCCAAATTCAAGTCTGGGGAGCCCAAGAGCGAAGACAGTCACAGGGCTCCGATGGCCCGTTCTGAGTCGAACATGGAGGCCAGGAGCCCATGGCCAAGAGGCTCCCGCCTGAGACTTCCTCTCACTTCACTCACAGACGAGGCCCTCGTGGCCGATGATCATGATGGGGTTGAGATAGTGATGATGATGGTGTTGTGCGCGTGTGGTGATGGCGACGATGGTGTTGATGCGCGATGCTATTGATGGGATCGTGACATGGTGATGAGTGAATCATGGGAGAACGTGACTCAGCGAGAGAGTGAGAGGATGCTGATGAGTGAGGATGTAGTGGGGTGGCATGTGGTGATGATGCTGAGGATTGTGATTGGGATGATGATGACGATGATGATGATGATGATGATGATGCTGATGCTGATGCTGATGCTGATGCTGATGCTGATGCTGATGACGATGCTGATGACGATGACGATGACGATGACGATGACGATGACGATGACGATGATGACGGTGATGATGGCGTGTGCGCGCGTGAGGAGGAAAGGGGTGAGACGGAGGAGGAGGACTGCGCGGGGTGTCCAGATGAAACAAGAACATGACTTTGGATGTGGGGAAGCAGAGAAATTGGGTTTGTGAGAATTTGTCTGCCACGGATTGAATTCGGCACCTCGAGATGGATTGGTTGTCTTGTATATCCGTTTGCTTGCATCGAGCCATTGATCAGGTTAGGCCCCTCCATGTGTGGGCAGAAGGACTCGAGCAGATGTTTCGCATGCGCGGCAGATTCCATGGGGTAGTGCGTGCACGGAGAATCAAGCGCTTCCCGAGCGAGCGGATAGGGCCCTGGAGCCACCACGTGCGAAGCCGAGTCAAGTCAAGTCAAATCGACGGGCTTGCTCCACGCGCGCGCCCATGGCCTCGCTGCCCAGGAGCTTCGCGACTGGCACTGGCGCCACCTCGAAAACTGCGTCAGCAACCATTCTGTAGGCTATCATACATCCACAGTGCACGCGCACTCGCCGTTCCACATCGTTCTGCTTACCCCCCCACACACAGGGCAACCTGCCACTTTTACTGTATATCCTGCCGTCAGTGCTACACTCGCCATCGAATACGGTTGGTCCGCGCATGTAATTGATATGATTTGGCATCGTCTCGTTTGCAAAATAGTCACATGGAGCCCTCATTGGTTCAATCCACATTTCTAGGCGCAGCCGTTCTCTTGCTCATTCTAGCACCTTTCCCATCTTGCACCAATCCTAGACCGTTTTTGTTGTACGGTTGATGCTCGTACATTTTCAATCGTTTCGGTCGGTGGCCTCTAGCCAGTGTCTGCAAAGCGCAGAGAAGGAGGAGGAGGAGGAAGTGGAGGAGGAGGAGGAGGAGGAGGAGGAGGAGGAGGAAAAGAAGGACGAGGACGGGGAAAGGAGCAGGGGCAGGAGGAACAGCAACAGGCAGAGCAGGAGCACGATGACGAAGAAGGAGGGTAAGCAGGAGGAGCAGGAGGAGGGGGGAGCAGGAGGAGGAGGAGGAAGAGCAGGACTGGATGCAGGCCGCATGGGGAGCAGCAGGAGTGGGAGGAGCGACCATCGGGAGAGCACCTGGAAGGGAGGTGCCGTCGGGTGACAGCGCGCCTGGCCTCGCCATCAGAGGCCTGCCAGCCTGTCAAGCAGGAAGCACGAGGGAGGAGAAGGGAGCAGCGCCAGCAGCAGGTGGAGGAGCGGGGCTGACGATGGGACAACAGCCCGATCAGCAGGCCAGAGTAACCCGACGAGGTTCCGAGGATCCGTCTCGTGGGCGTCGCCGGCACCCGCATCCCGAGGCGTGCGTCGAGCGCGCCCCTGGCGTCCGAGGGGGGCCAGCCTGCAGAACGGCCTCCGGAGGGGCCCCCGGGACGGGCCACGCCGTTCGACCCCCCCCCCCCCTCTTGCCAGCCCCCCTTCCCCGGAGGCCTCCAGACAGAGGCCCGACGCCGGCCCCACGGCCCTCCACCTGCTGGGCCGAAGGAAAGGGGGGGATAGTCAGGAGGGGGGAAAACACGCAGACACAATTCATCCTCGATTCCCAGGGAACTATTGGAACATATGGGAAGTGGGGGGAGGACAAAAACCTAGAAAACATGGGAAAATATGGGGGCTCCTTCTATTTGTGTGTATTTATTTGTGTGTCTCAAGGCCCCTTCAGATAGGGAAAGGGGGGGGTACGAAATCTGCTGCATGCAGCTGGTTTTGGCCCCGCCGCCGGGCCCATCCCTCGATACATGGGCGCCTCTGGAGCCGGGAGGCGCCGGGAAAATCAGCTACGTGAGCTGATTCTCAAACCCCCCCTTCGGTATCCCCCCCTTTCGCCCGGCCCGAACCTGGCCCGCTCTCAGCATGCGGGGCTCTCCGCCGCCGCCGGACCGCGCGGCACGCCAGGCGCGCGGCGTCGCCGCATCGCCGGCGCCGCCGCGGAGCGCGGCGCGGCGGGGGCAGCACGCCTCAGAGGGGCCAGCTCGATCGGGAGCCAGATCGGTTCGGAGGTTGATAGGCCTCCTACCCTGACACGTCCATTAGCGAATTGGCCGTTTTCGGTTCGCGAGAGGGCGCCGCGGCTGTCATTGTTGCAGGTCCAGGTCCGTCGGTTTCGGTCCTGGGCCCTTTTCACTAATTGGGGAGGTTTACCAACGGGAGGTCTGTCCACCGCCGATCGGTGAGCCCCGCCGCCTGACCTTTGCAGAGGGATTCGAGAATGGGCGGGCGGGTCGGGCCAGCGGGGCGGGCCCTGACGGGCGGGGCGGACCCTGACGGGCGGACCAGACGGGCGGACTTTCACGGGCGGCTCGGGCGAGGCACCGAAGCGGGCGGGCGGGCCCCCAAAGAGGCGAACGGGCGGATCGGGCGGGCGGGGCATGGAGGCGAGCCTCGGAAGTTGAGCTGCCCGTGCGAGTGCGCGATTCCTAGACGTCGAGAGCTCAGCGCACGAGTTGGTTGAAGAAGTCCTGGGCGCGAGCGCGATTCTTTGGTGAACAGCGAGGAGGTCTCAGGCGCGAGTGCGATCCCTTACTTAGTCGATTGTGAGAACGTCTCCAGCGGAAAACGGTGATGCTCAGGTGGACCCCCCCAAGCTCCCGGCTGGAAACAAAATTCGTGTTTCCTTTCCTCGTCTTTCCCGTTATCATCATCTTCACCATCAGGGGTCCTCATCGTTCCCCGAACGTAAGCGGTGGTCGCCGCGGGGGAATGTTTGTTTTCCCAGCACTGTTGGGTCCCCATCTGTTAGAAAGCTCGCGCGGCAAAACATGTTTTTCCCCTTATTGGGGCGGTTCTGAAAGACCTTATGCGGTTAGTCCAAAGGTGCAGTCCCGAATCCCTGATGCAAGCCTGGTGCGAGCCAGTGGGGGGAGCATCTCACTTGAAAAACATGGATTCTCGCTGGGCGGGGAAGACCAACAGTAGCAATTCTCCGTGAACGAGACGTCAACAACCAGCAGATTGAAAGGCCTCGATGTTCCAACACCGCTCCGCCATCTTGGCATGAACGAACCGAGTCCTGAAGCAAATGCCTCCTGGGGCCCCGGGGTCTTCGCAAGGGTCGGCTTTCTCGTCCCTGCTCGTTTTGTTGACGGTCCTGGGCCCTTGGAGGGCCCCAGGGAGCCCGAGAACGGGCAGAACCATCCAGGGCGGTCAATCACGACGCGAGCCCTGGACCCATGCCTTGCAGCGTTCTTCACGAGTCCGATGGATCCGTGAGGGCCCCGGGCCCCGAAACCAGGGGACCACGCCCGTTGTGAACAAGAATTGGGCGCCTCCCGGATCTCGGAGTCCGCTCAGGACCCACTTTCCCTAGATGGTCCTCAGAACGCGTGCTAGCCCAACGTGTGTTTCCCCGCGCTCCAGGCGGCCCTATTGCCAGGTTGCCCCAGCACCGGCTGGCCGTGCCGGCCGCTCATCCTGATGAGACTCGCTCCGCGGTGAGTGCCCCCTTGCCCGCCCGCTTTCTGCGGCCGCCCCCCCTTCCGCCTTTTCCCGCTCCTTGCTGCGGGCCCAGAGGATGTGTTGAGGAAGTCTCGATAGAGGTGCTTGTTTGCACGTGTCCAGGTTGCCCAGGCAGATACCTAGCTTGAGTATGTGTTGAGAATGTCTCGAGAGATACGCTTGTTTTCACGTGTCCAGGTCGCCCAGGCGGATGTCTGACATGAAGATGTGTTGAGGATGTCTCGAGCGAGACGTTTGCTTTCACGTGTACAGGTCGCCCAGGCGGATGTCTAGACTGAGGAGGTGTTGAAAACGTCTCGAGCGAAATGCTTGTTTTCGCGTGCCCAGGTCACCCAGGCGGACGTCTCACATGAAGATGTGTTTAGGATGTCTCGAGCGAACCACTTGTTTTCACGTGTCCAGTTCGCCCAGGCGGATGTCTAGCACGAGAATGTGATGAGGATGTGTTGAGCGAAACGCTTGTTTTCACGTGTCCAGGTCGCTCAGGCTGGTTTCTAGCATGAGGGTTTTGACAGGAAGTCTCGAGCGAAACGTCCCCAGCACGTTCCGTAGCGCGTCCCCTTGGCACGTCCCGCGGTGCGTCCCCATGGCACGTCCCCTGGCACGTCGCCTGGCGCGTCCCTTGAGACGTTCCGCGGCGCGTCCTCCTGGCATGTCCCCGTGTCAATTAGCTCTGGGGCAGCTACTATGTGTTCAGGCAGCTCGAGCTTAAGATCCAGATCAGTTCGATCAGGACTCGGATGCAAAGGAGGACTCGATCCGCAACGCTATAGAGCACAATCGCGGCATGGCACATCGCAATTCAGCACGGCGCAGCACAGCGTAGACTTCGGCACGGTACATCAAGATCGATACATTCAGCATTGCAACCTGGCACGTCCCTTGGCACGTTCCGTGGGGCGTCCCTTGGCGAGTCCCCCTGGCACGTCGCGTGGCGCGTCCCCAGGCACACCCCGTGGCACATCCATTGGCACGTTCCGTAGCGCGTCCCCTTGGCACGTCCCGCGGTGCGACCCCATGGCACGTCCCCTGGCACGTCGCCTGGCGCGTCCCTTGAGACGTTCCCCGGCGCGTCCTCCTGGCATGTCCCCGTGTCAATTAGCTCTGGTGCAGCTACTATGTGTTCAGGCAGCTCGAGCTTAAGATAAGATCCAGATCAGTTCGGTCAGGACTCGGATGCAAAGGAAGACTCGATCCACGACGCTATAGAGCACAATCGCGGCATGGCACATCACAATTCAGCACGGTGCAGCACAGCGTAGACTTCGGCACGGTACATCAAGATCGATACATTCAGCATTGCAACCTGGCACGTCCCTTGGCACGTTCCGTGGGGCGTCCCTTGGCGAGTCCCCCTGGCACGTCGCGTGGCGCGTCCCCAGGCACACCCCGTGGCACATCCATTGGCACGTTCCGTAGCGCGTCCCCTTGGCACGTGCCGCGGTGCGACCCCATGGCACGTCCCCTGGCACGTCGCCTGGCGCGTCCCTTGAGACGTTCCGCGGCGCGTCCTCCTGGCATGTCCCCGTGTCAATTAGCTCTGGTGCAGCTACTATGTGTTCAGGCAGCTCGAGCTTAAGATAAGATCCAGATCAGTTCGGTCAGGACTCGGATGCAAAGGAAGACTCGATCCACGACGCTATAGAGCACAATCGCGGCATGGCACATCACAATTCAGCACGGTGCAGCACAGCGTAGGCTTCGGCACAGTACAGCAAGATCGATACATTCAGCATTGCAGTTGCCCGTCACCCAATCAGGTGTCTTTGAACATGTTGCCATGCGTTACATTTCTGTATTCCGTTCCAGGTTCGTGGGTCGATCATGTTTTATCCGTAAGGGCCTCGCTCTCTGCCGCCGGTCCCATCTCTCGGATAATGAGCTATGCAAGAGTTAGATCATGAGGCCTCGGCGCCGCCGTGAAGCAGCATCGGCAAGAGAGATTGAGATTCTGATGGGATTGTTGAACTCCGTGTTGCATTTTGAACCTGCCTCCGTATGCTGCGCACTAAGGTTTCCCACTGAATTTTGGACATGTGGCAAATCCCATTGGTTTTTTGTTGACCCTGACCATGCTGATCTGCGTGAGGGGTGCCGCCGAACTTCAGAAATGTGGCAAATCCCATAGGTTTTTCGACCCTGACCCCGCCGATCTGCGTGAGGGGTGCCGCCGAATTTGAGAAATGTGGCAAATCCCATGTGTTTTTGTTAACCCTGACCCCGCCGATCTGTGTGAGGGGTATCAATTTCGACCTCCCCAGACATTTTGAGAACCCTCCCAGTAGACGCCAGGTTTGCCGGTTTTCGGCTCACCCCCCTCGCGCGGTCTACAACAAGGAACACTAAGCAACAAGAAGCAGAACTGTAATAGTGGAAACTGGAACTGGAACTGGCGCGGGGAACAGCAAACCCTTGTCCTACAGCCTGGTGGCCCCGCAAGGGGGCCGGCGGATTCTATGTTTTTTGGCCTTCTCACCATTTCAACGCTCTAAGACGGCCGAAGGGGCCCCCAAGACCGCCCAAGAGGCCCCCAAGACGGCCCCACGACGGGCCAAGAAGGCCCCAAGTTTGCCGAAGAGGCGCCCAGGACAGATCCAGACCATCCAAGAACAGGCCCAAGATGGGCCCAAGAGCGGGAACAGGAGGCCTCCAGAGACCTCGGAGAGGACTTTGGGACCCCCCAGAGGCCCCGGACACACCCGAGACCATTGAGAAGCGCAAAACGCTGGGCCGTCCCGATAGAGCCCGAAGAGGGTAAAATCGGTAGTTTGCAGTGTTTTTTTATGTTTCTCGCCTTCTCACGTTTTCCCGCTTCCAACGCTCAAAGTCAAAAGAACTTGAAAGAAAAGAGATTCTAGATATATTTATTCAAGTTAAACAAATACGCCCCCCCTCCCAGGTGTCCTACACCTCCTTGGAATATCTGCGGAGCGCTCCCGGTACCGCGCGTTCCGGCCCCGGGGGACCCCAAAACGCCTAAGGACAGCCCAAGATAACCCCGAGAAGCTTCCAGAACGTACAAGAACGACCCATGACGCTTCCAAGCAACCCAAGATAGCCTTCGGTCGGCTCTCCAGGCTCCCAGAAAGCCTCCAAGAGACCTCAAAGACCGAAGAACTTAAAAAAGGAATTCCATACGGTAGGTTTGCGTCGTGTCGACCAGCGGCGACCCCAGCGCGGGCGTTCAAGGTTGAACGCCGCCGGCGACCCAGAATCGATTGATGTTGAACGATCGGACGTTGCGGCAGCGGCCGATCGTTCAAGGTTGAACGATCCCTGCGGTGTCAAAAACCAACGCTGGGGTCGGCACGACACGAACCTGCCGTACATTCCTTTTTTTCAAGGTGGGACTCCTACTCCCTATCCTCTTCCTCGAGCCCCATCAAGGCTTCGGGGTCACGTGCAAAGGTTTTTCGGGAATGCCGTTGAACTCTCTGACGCTGTCTTGGCACTCTCTTGGATCGTCTTCGTGTCCTCTTGGCTGCCCCTGAAACCACCCCAGAATTCGAGATCCGATGATTCCATGAGCTGAAACAAATGAATGTGTGAATTCTTTGTTTTCGAATCCACCCCTGCTCATTATTGCACGAAGACCACAAGAGGCATCCCAACATACCGTGGCCTGCATCCAGAAAACTTCAAACCCACAGCCCAGGCGCGGCAAGTTGAAACAAGTGGGAAATCCCACAAATCCGTTTTTGCTTCCAGTTCGCCTCCCTATCCACACTTGCACAACAGACCATAAGTCAGGCCCCCTCAGCTGCCAGAAAAGAAATCAGGAAGCCTTTGAGGGCACCAAATCGTTGAATACCGAACGGGAATTAATGATTGCCGCGTTTCCGCAGTTCCCCTTCTATACGATTCCAAAGCTTGCGCAGGGCCTCCAGGAGAGCCCCTGGATGCAAGGAACGACAAACATGATATTCCATAGTAGCCCATCAAGCTTAGCTAGAATTCGAGCGTAGGCGAAGCACACGCGATGGTTCTAGTATATCCACACCTACAAATGTGTATACATATATATATATATATATATATATATATATATATATATATATATATATATATATATTCATATATTCATATAAAGATGCATGTGCTTACGCATGGGTGTATGTATATTGGCGGCGCGCCCAGAGGGGGGAGTGAGAGGGGATAGGCCATCTCAGAAGGCGATGGGGCCTGTCAGAGGCCCTCGCCCTTTCTGAGAAGCCGGCTGCGGCTTCGGAGAAGGTCTGCGAGGTTCCCCAGAAGACGTCAGGGCCTCTGAGAAGCCTTGCCAGTTTCTGGGAAGGCCTGCCCCTTTCACTTCCCCTCTGGGCTCGACGCCGAAAGCCGTTCGGTACTCTGGTGGCCGGTAGCCGTTCGGAGCGAGGCGCGGCCGCTGGAGCCTATCGTATCCCGAGGCTGGGAAGCCGCCCAGAGAGCCGACGAGAACGCCCCGAGAACCTCGCAGCCCTCACCGTCCCCCTCGCCTATTGGAGCTCGCCGCGAGGTGCAGACCTCTTCGGTCTGGAGCCGTCGAGTCGGCTCGGCGCCGGCCCGATCGGGGCGCGGGGGCGCCCGAGGCGGGGCTTCATGGCCTCCACGCCCGCGGGGGCGCCGGGGCGCGGCGGGGACCCGGACTTCGACGAGAATGCGGCGGACTTCGACACCGAGGAGCGGGTCGCTCTCGCCTCTGCTCCGCGGGGGGGCCCCGATGGATCGCCAGTGGCCGCCTGATGGCCCGACCCGCTCCGAGTCGCTGGCGGAGTCGGCATCCGGGGGTCTAGCGATCGATCTACACTGGCGGCGTGTCGCCGATTCCAGGCCGGCGCTTCCCCCCCTGAGCTGGTCCCCCCCCCCGCCAGCCCCTCACGCCCCTTGGAAGATTGGACTCCCTTGCTTCCCTTCTACGGCAGGTTCGTGTCGTGACGACCTGCGCGCTGGTTTTTGACACCGCGTGGTACGTTCAACATTGAACGACCGGAGGTTCGTGGATCGCCAGATCGTTTCACACTGGCCGATCTGGCGCAGAGGGGCCACCACACTCCTGGCCCTTGCCTTGCCCGCGTCTCTGTGGCGGCCCGCCCCGCTGCCCGAGCGAGAGGTGCGGGGGCCCGCGCTGCCACGCTGGCGAGCAGCCAGGCAGTTTGACCCTCCCTCTCGCGACACTGCTGCGGTCCTGGCGCCGGGCGGGGCGGCCCGCGCGCGGGGCGGACTGGGCAGAGGCACCACGCCCAGGCCCAGCCTGCCGAGAGGGACGGCCGCCCGGCAGCGTGGCAGACGCCACCCGTGCGCCGGGGCCCGCGCCGACGGGTGGTGGCAACGAGGGGGGCCGCGCGCGCCAGGCGCGCGCTCCAGCCGGGGCAGGCCTCGGCCCTGCCCCCCAGCCGTGGTCCAGCTCGGCGCGCCAGGGCAGGCGCGTCCCCCTCCCCCTCCCCCTCCCCCTCCCCCTCCTTTCCCTCCTCCTCCCCCTCCTTTCCCTCCTCCTCCTCCTCCTCCTTGCTCCTCCCCTCGAGGGGCCCCTCAAAGTCGGGTGGCCTCGAGGGCCCGTGGCCCTTCGGGCCCCCCGCCCCCGGAGTGATGGGCGTGCCCCAGTCTGCCCCGCGCGGGGCTGGGGCCGGGACAAGGGCCGGCGCCTCCCCCTCTCCGTGCCTTCTGTCGGCAGGTGGGACCACCCCTGGGGACCAGCCGGGGCCCACGGGGGCGGTACTCTGACCAGGGCCCCCCACCCCGTGCACCTGCACCGACAGGGAAGGGACAAAAAAGTAGGGAATCGCCTTAGCTACGACATTTCTTTTTTTTGTTCGCTCGTCAATTCTCTTGGGACTGGCGGCGGCGACGACGACGACGACGACGACATCGACAGCATCTCACATACACGCCGCAGGGTCGGCGGAGTAGTTCTTTGCTTTCTGTTGTTTGTTTGTTTTTTTTCTCTCTCTCTCTCTCTCTCTCTCTCTCTTTCCTATTTTTTCTAAGCAAAAGCAAGCCTGCCGTAATTCATGTAATTAATGATGATGCTCAGTGTTCCTCATGTCAGATTGCAAGCCCGCGGATGCCAGGAGGGCACGTACCTCTACGGCACTGACATCAAGGACAGGATTGTCGCAGGTCAGAAGAGCAAGATTTCACATATGAGCTGCATGGAAGGATGCGGCGTTTGAAGAGTGGGAGCGAGGAATAGGCGCGCGCCTGAAAGAGAGAGAGAGAGAGGCATGTTGCAGCGAAGCCCGCTTTGGGAGAAGGGTTGGAAGCAGGGCGGAAATGTCGAGGAGGGCTCTCACTTGCCGATCGCGCGGATCTGGTTAGCAAGCATTTCTCCCCTCCTCTCGTCATTGTTATTATGGTTCCTTGCCCCCCCCCTTTGCACTACTCCTTTGCACCCCTTTGCCCCTCCTCATCGCCCTCCAAACTTCCTCTATCTCCCTCCCTCCTCCTGGCGCGGCGACGCGGCTTATCGCCCACGCTCGCCCCCCACGGTCCGCCGCGAGCTCCGCGGCGAGCGGGCAGGATCACCCTCCGTCCTCCCCGCCGCATTCTCCCCGTCGGAGGGCTCGCGTGCAATTTGGGACATCACGTCGCATCTGCCGCACAAGGTCTGCAAGCGTTGCGCGCTGGGTAGGCCGCGGCGACTAAGTTTTCGCATGCGTGCCTGGGCTCGTTCTCCCATGGGTTCGTTCCGCGCGGGACATACAGGTCCTTCCATCTAGAGGCCCACCGTTGTGAGATGACGGAAATGCTGGAGTGGGGCTTGATTTTGAGTTGGGGTTTTGGTTCCGTGCTTCAGGGTCAACCACGGCAAAAAGCATTCGAACATTCGAGTTGAGAGTTCTTGAGCACCACGTAGTGAATAGCACATGCGTTGTGTTGGTGTATAGTTCGGTGGCCAGGGCGTTCCCAGCAGTCCTTGTAAGTGACGGTGGAAGGATCAGCTCTGATTCCAAGAGCATCGAGCTTACATATGGCAATATGTCGATGCTTGTGGTTCCATGTTCGCCTTTCCAATACAGTCTTTTGATGACATGTCGTGGTTCCTGGATGCTCGGCGTCTCGAGTCGCGGTTACGCGCACGAGGTCAGGTCAGATCTCGTGTGAGTGATCTAGCCGATGTTGAGAAGGGTGTGTGTGTGTGTGTGTGTGTGTACGGATTGTCAAGTGATCGTGGCGTGCCCGTGCAACCACGAGCCGACCGTCAAAATCGAACGCGCTCACTGCCAGCGCAACGCAACGTCGCACGAGAGCGTGCGACCCCTCTGGGACGCAGTTCACACGTCAACCCTTCATCGGTGGGCCCGGGGCCCTGCGGTCGCCCCTGCACGCTTGGCGATTTTCAATTGTTCCAGATCTGAGGCGGGAGGAACACGAGGGCGGACGAGTGCGAGGATAACGGAGGGGTGTGACATTCGTCAACCCTGGACGTGAATCCACCACATGTCGTCGATTCGGCAAGCAGTGTTGGGGTTGTCGTTACCACGTCTTGTGTGGACGGAGTATTGGGTGTTGGCAGAGTTATTGTGATGCACTGAGTTGTTTCATCTGGGGTTCATGAGGTGTATATGCTGATTCACTGGCTTACGCCACACCGCCGACCCCTTGGGGCGGCAGCAATCGTCCCCCGCGTGGCCTGTCCTGACAGCCTGTGAGGCCCCTCTAGACACGTTGTGGAGCCCTCTTAGGCCCGCCCTGCCGTTCCCCCGGGCCGTTACTATGGTTTCTGGGGCCTTCGTAGGGCGCCCAGAGACCGTCGTGGAGCCTTTTGGAGAGTCTCTTAGGGTGCCAGAGGTCGATCTTGGAGGTGTACTGGGCCGTTGTGGGCCTCGTGGAAGCCCAAGAAGCGAATATGCTGAAAATGTATGTTTTACCTGGGCAATGGGACGGTTTTTGCTTCTGGAGGCCTGCTTGGAGCGCCTCGTGGTCGCGTATGCAAACGTCTTGAACGCCCATGGGGCTGTCTGGAGGCAGTCTTGGGCAGTTTGGACCGAATCGTCCCCCGCGTTGGCCATCCGGACAGCATTTGGGGAGCCCTTTTGCCCCGTTTCGGGGCCCTCTTGGGACCGTCCTGCGATTTTTCTGGGCCGTTGCTATGGTTTCTGGGGCCTTCGTGGATCGCCCGGACGCCGTCTTGGAGCCTTCTCGGGGGTCTCTTCGGGTGACAGGGGTCGATCTTGGAGGTTTATTAGGCCGTTGTGGGCCTCGTGAAAGCCCAAGAAGCGAATGTGCTGAGGGAATAGGACGGTTTTTGCTTTTGGAGGCCTGCTTGGAGCGCCTCGTGGTCGCGTATGCAAACGTCTTGGACGCCCATGGGGCCGTCTGGCGGCGATCTTGGGCGGTTTGGACCGAATCGTCCCCCGCGTGGGCCGTCCGGACAGCCATTCATTGGGGGCCCTCTTGCCCCGTTTCGGGGCCCTCTTGGGACCGTCCTACGGCTCTCCTTAGCCGTTGCTATGGTTTCTGGAGCCTTCGTGGATCGCCCGGACGCCATCTTGGAGCCTTTTTGGGAGCCTCTTGGGCTGGCGAGGGTCGATCTTGGAGGCGTTTTGCGCCGCGTGGAAGCCGAATGAGTGAATGTGGTGAAAATGCACGTTTTCCCAATGGAATTGGACGATTTTTGCTTCTGGAGGACCTCTTTGGGGCGCCTCGTAATATTGTTTCAAACGTCTTGGGGACTTCTGGAGCCGTGTGGAGGCAATCTCCGTCGTTTTTGGGCGATCTCTCGTCGATTCGTAGCTCTCTTGGACCGTTCCGGGAACCTTTGAAACCTTTTTGGCCTGTTTCTGGGGCCTCCTGAGGCTCCAAGTGTGCGGATGATGGATTTGCCCCCCACCCCACCCCACCCTCCAAACCAGCCGGGCCAGGCCCCCGGGGGAGGGGTTTGGGGGGGGGGAAGCATCTCGCGGACTTCGTGATGTGGAGTTGATTTTCTTAGGATTGGTCCAAGACAAAGGACAAGCCAGAATGCTCAACCTCTTCCTCGGACAAGCACTCACCCTTGCAGGGACACCTCTTGACGATTCGATTGCTCACTGACCTCCGACAAACGTCACTCTCACCAGACTGCCTGTCACTGGATGACTCTCAGACAACAATGCCCTCCGAGCTCGCGACATCCTAGGAACAATCATTGCGAAAACCGTCCTCATGAAGAAATTTGATCTGAGGTTTCGCAGTGTTCTGCCTCCCCGGGACCTCCCCGGGATCCGTGGCCGTGAGAAAGCCGATCGGTATGAAAAGTTGGTCTTTGGGGAAGCGAAGCCCTGGGGTATCCAGGACCCGCTTCATTCGGGACCCGTGTCCCTCATGGCAAGGCGTGTGTCCCAGAACCGCGTCGCCTCCAATTGGTCCAAGAGCCATACAGCTCGTGGTAGCTTCACGCCTGGGCGCATCTGCTCAAGATGGGACGCCACTCGGGGAGGGGGGGGGGTTGGACCAACCTTGCGACGGCGCTTCCCCGTCCCCACCCCCTGCCCTGACTATTCCGCGCCAGCCCATTCCCCCAGCACGCACCCGTCTCCGTGTCCGACGGCACGCGCCCGAGGAGCCACTGCCTAGACCTCCGAGATGGGATCCGAGTAGATGGGGTTGCAGGACCGATCGCTCCGCATCGCCGATGCATCGGCGATGCGGCTCGATGTGGTGCTCGACGTCGCCGACGCATCGCCGACGTCGAGTTGTCGCTCCACTCCGGGCCCCCCCCGCAAGTGTGCTAAAAATTCCGAACAAGTGTGATATCAACCTTGTATCACAATTGTTGTTTATCGCACTTGTTCCCCGACCTGGCGGAGGGGTTCCCGTTTAGTGTCCCCCTGGGGGGGTCTGGGGGGGGACCCCCGGGACAGGGCACCGGCCACGGGCGGAACTCCGGCGGAAGACGGCAGAACACCGGCAGGACGCGGCAGGACACTGCACCATTTCTGCAGACGCGCTTCCGGGAAGCACGGACGGCCCCAAGATGGTCAACAAGATGGTTCAAGAAGGCCTCGAGTCGCCGAAAGATCGGCGCCAGACGCCCGAGATGGCGTCCCGCAGGCCCAGGGAGCCCCCAAGACGCCCCGAGAGGCCCCCATGAGGCTTTCTAGGAGAGCCCGAAGCGTCAAAAATCATCAGTTGTCCTTAGGTTTTTGAAGGTTTTCGGGGTTTTCGCCTTTGCGGCTTTCCGCCGCTCCGACACGGCCCAAGAGGCCCCAAAGATCGCCCCAGCAGAGCCTCAGAGACCCCCAAGCGAGCGCTCAGACGGCAAGATGTCCTCAAGACGACTCACGAGGCCTCCAACACGGCCTCACAAGCGCCCCAGGCAGGCCCCAACAGAGCCCCTGGAGCGGAGGCAGAGGCCCATTTCTCAAGTTCTCAGCCCCAACAACCCCTCCAGAGGCCCCCAGAGGCTCCCAAGACGCCCCCGAGAGGCTCGAATAAGCCCTGAGGAGGCCTCAAGAGGCCCCCAAGCACCCTTCAAAAGGCCCCAAGAACCCTCCAGATGCCTCCACCATGCGCCCAGAAGCGCCCAAGATGGACCCAGGACTGCCCCGACAGAGCCCCAGGACGGCGGGAGGCGCCTCCACAAAGCCTGACAGCGTCGAACGGACAACACGGAAACCTAATCAGACCCCAAGAGGCCCCCGAGAACACCCAAGAGGCCTCCAGACCTGAAGACGCCTCCAGGAAGCCCCCAGAAGCACCCAAGAGGGCCCCAGGACTGCCCCAAGACCACAGAACTGCTCCAAGCGCCTCGACAAAGCGTCAGAGCAACAAACGGACAGCCCCGGGACTCCCTCAGGAGTGCCCCAGGACGGCTGAAGGACCCGACGGGGCAACGAAGAGGCCCTCAAGAAGACCCCACGAGGCCACATAACCCCACAACGCCTACAGCAAGCCCCTATAAGCGCCCAAGAGGGCCCCAGGATTGCCCCAAGACCCCAGGAATTCTGGACACGCTTCGACAAAGCGTCACAGCGACAAACGGACAGTCCCAGGATTTCCTCGACCCCACGACGCCTACAGCAAGCCCCTATGAGCGCCCAAGAGGGCCCCAGGATTGCCCCAAGACCCCAGGACTGCTGGAAACGCTTCGACAAAGCGTCACAGCGACAAGCGGACAGTCCCAGGACTTCCTGGCTCGTTTAGACATTTCCTGAGCTCTCCCTCAGAGGTCTCCAGCACGCCTCCACAATCTCCCAAAAGGGCATCAAAACAGCCCCAAAAAGGCCCACGACGGCTGGAGGCGCCTCGACAAAGCGTCACCGGGTCAAACGGACAACCCGGAAACCAATGCAACGTGCGTTACACATCTCAGCGTAACGGGCTCGCATGGAAACGTGCTGAGCTTGCCCCGTGGCTCGCATGGTCGCGTGCTGAGCTCACCCCATCCCTCCCATGTGGCTTGCATGGACACGTGCTGAGCTCACCTCCTGACTCGCCTTGTCGCATGCGGACCCCGCCTCCAACACGTACCGTAGTTTTTTGGGGCCACCTTTTCCTCAGAAACGTGCCCGGCACAACCTCAAACGAAACCCGAGGCCCCCAGGAGCCTCACGCCGCAAGTCGTCCAATCCAGTCCTGATACAGTCAGACACGTGCCCGACATAACGTCCAGCACAACCCGAGAGCCCCCAGGACCTCCAGATCCCCCAAACTGCATTCTCTCGCCCGTCATGCGAAACCGCGCCCCTCCCTTCCTGTGGCTCGCATGGAAACGTGCTGAGCCTACCTCGTGCCCCAAGACCCCAGGACTGCTGGAAACGCTTCGACAAAGCGTCACAGCGACAAGCGGACCCCCTCCCCCTCCCCCTCACGCTCCTCCATCTTCCCTCCTCCGTCCTCCTGCTCCTCCTCATCTCTCCTCCTCCTCCTCCTCCTCCTGCTCCTCCTCCTCTGTTTCCTCATCATCATCATCATCATCATCATCATCATCATCAGCAGCAGCAGCAGCAGCATCAGCATCATCATCAGCACCATC